AGGCCCCTTCTGGATGGTAGTTTGTTCCAAAGCTGTGCTGCATTAACTCCCGTTCTGTGTAGTTCACCTTTTAAGAAGGCCAAAAATCCGTGTCACTAAATGTTTCCTCTAAAATGCAACTGCCCACCTGGCAGCCTGCCTCCTATTTTCCTCCCAGTCAGTCAGGGCTTTCAGATCACTGCTGAATCGGAATCTTGGTCTCCTTCCACCCAGCCAAGCCAGGCAAGTTTCCATGAAACTCCAAAACTAAGGAGCCCTTTATTCACTTGACAACAAGAAAATAAAATCACAGAGGCAATGAAAGGGAGGACTATACGCCAGCAAGTGAAAACAGAAGCGTCAAAGCAACAATGAGAAGAGCGTAATTAGGCCCCGGGCCCCGCCTCACAGGCCTGTCACATTCCTCTTGGGTAAAAGACTGGCTGATGGACAGATCCGCCTCTTGGAATCGCTGGAAGGTGAGGCTGCGAAGACCGTGCAGAAGCACATTGTTGACTCAGTATACGCACAAACCCCGCTGAAAAGAGTCTTAAAATATCTTTCATTCATGCTGCCAGGTCTGAGCGCTGGATGCAGGGCTCTCTGTTTCTCTCAGCAGAACCCATTCTGCTCGCTGTGGTCGTCGGGGCTTTTGTTACCTCTCACAGAAGACAGCTGTCTCCGGGAAGCGGGTGGCTCCAGCGAGGACTTCTCAGGCATGCTGAAGGTCCCACGGTGACACCCCCGGGACATGGAGCTGCGGGCACCTTTGAAGCTCTGAGCTCCTTCTGGGAATGGGCTCCTGATTATCTTCTTAACCAAGAGGTTTTCTAAAGTCAATCCTTCCTGGACTGAGTAATTAAAACACACACAGGGAGGCTGGTTCTAGTTTCCTCGTAAATAAACCGAAAATAATGAAATGTTGGGAACTGTCATTGACTGCCAAGTTTTATGGCTGGCCCCTAATTACTTTGGTAGAACACAAATTTGTGTGTCTAAATAATTATTTGATAAGTATGACTGCAGTTCCGAAAATAATTAAGAACTGTAATCATATTTTGAAGTATAGAAAAATAGCTTGCTAAATGATTGCCCTCCTACTTAAGTAAACAAAAGAATGCTGATTCTATGTATTTTACTTCCTACATAAATATTGATCGTGAGACCAGCTCAGCAAACACAATTGTGGAGATCTGAAAGACTCAATGGAACTTAACACTGTGCGGGGTCTTATTTCTCAAAGTGGGCTACAACCACCCTTTGGGGCTTAGGGCAGGGAAGGAGTCAATGTCTTCCGGTTAGAAATAAACATTTGGGATGCTTCAATTTTACTAAAGGTTTAGTTGTGAGGAGTACATTATGTTTATTTGTATATAAATAAACATGGCATTATAATGGAATGTCTGAAATGCATAGAATATTATATTCAATATTACAAGGACATTTTGAGCTGGTAGCTACACCCACATGGGCCCTGACAGGTTGTTCTTCATGTTAGAGGTTCTTGATGGAAACATTTGCAAGTATTTCTTCTTGGTCCATGGTAACACTGCACACAGAAATGCTGATAAAATGATTCATTCATCAGTGCTTCATTCTCTTCTCAATATTAGAAATTCTGTGCGCATTCATTTAAATAAAACATATAACATGAGAAGAAGGAAGTGAGCTACTATTTTTAACAGGGAAGATAATTTAGCAAAGTCCATCATCAAATACCTGTTTATTCTTCTTTCACTGTTAATCATGGTTGACTGCCCTCTCCCCTTTGATAGCTGTTTTAGTGGTTTTCCAGTAGAAATACAGTTCATCATGAAATTTCAGTTGTAGTTCATACGTGGGTCACAATCTTCATTAATGTTTTTAGATACAAATGCCTGTAATCAAAGCATAGTTTGCCTATCCTTCACTTTACAACTCAAAAAAGCAAAACGTTTTTTAAGCTCTATAGTTCATTAATTCGATAATGGCTTTTTTCTTTTAGGCTTTCTCTATGCTCACCTTGTGCAAAATTAACCATTCTGTAGACTGAGAAGTAATCAAGCATTTTTAGAATAAAAGAAAATTTTCCATGTTAAAATATTCTGGATATTCTGGGACGGTTCAGTACCTTGCTATTCTTTACATTCCTTAAGTGTAAGAAACTCATCTTCAACAATCCAAGTATCTTCACCTTCACTAACAAAACAAATCAGAGGGTTATTCTTCACCTTACAAAACTACTTATTACCCAAGATTACTTTCATTCATTAGCACCTACTCTCAAACCCATTAAAATTTAGTCGGCATTTACACAGGTTTTCAGAAGAACTTTCAAAGAGCTGAAAGGGAATAGTGAATGAGCTCACCCCCTTAATCTTGCAAGTAAGGAAACTGAGACCCATAAGGGGTATGAACTATTGATTCTCTATGACAAGTAGGACTTATCAAGGGCCCACAATGTCCTCACATCTTTAGCATTTCCACTATGTCTAAACCACCATTACCTCTTCCTTGGAATGGTGCAGGAGTGACCTAAATCCTGTTTTCCCCTCTCTCCTATATAATACCTTTTCCCCAAAGGTCACTTCACACAGCAGCCAGAGGGAGGCATCTACAACAGAAGGCAAACTGTCCCTCTTTTCTACACAGCTTCTGATGTCTTCCCATCTCCCTACAGTAAAAGCCAGTCCTCACCACAGTTCCCAAGGCCTATCTACACCTAACTACCCACCAGCCTCTGGACCCTTGCCCCAGTGTTTTCTCCATTCACTCCACCTTGGGGACAGCACCCTTGCAGTTCCCTCTGCCAGCAACCTTTTCCTCCAGAGGTCCAGGTGACTCCCTCCCTCCCTTCCTTTCTTCAGGGATTTTCTCAAATGTCACTTTATCAGAGATGGTTCCCTGACCACCCTACTTAAACAGCATCATGCTACTTCTCTCGCCCTCCTTACCTGTCGTATTATTTTTTCCTAACATTTTCCCCACCTGACATATTACATATTTGTCCATTGTTTGCCTTTCCTCACTGGAATTTAACCTTGACAAAAAAGTCTCTGCGAACCCCAGTGCTTGCCATCTGCCTGAACTTTGGTAGAGTAAGTGCTTACAATGTGCCGGGTGCTATTTTAAAGAAGGTTACGGAACCAATTTACTTAATCATCACAGCTAACCCAAGATAGGCATTATCATCCTAGTTGTCATCATCATCATCATTATCATCATCATCTCTGGTGAAGAAACTAAGGTCCAGAGAAGATACAGATGAAGTAACTCATGTAATCACCCAGCTAGTCAATAGTAGAGAAAGGATTTGAACCCAAAGCACCAGCTCTTTAATCACCAGGATGTATGCTTAGCTAATGACAAAGAGCAACTTTAATGCTCTTTCCCCTATTCCAGACTCTTAGAAATTGAGATATATCAAAGTACTTTCAAACATCAAGCTTCCTTTAACTGCCTACAATTTTAGAATAATAGGTGTGATTTGAGCTAAGACTGTTAAACAGGAGTAAAAATGTGAGCTACAACTGCACTTCAGCCTCTAATGAGGGAACCACTTCCACAAAGGACTGTGGCTTACAGGTGTGTGCAGGTAATTCTTACTGTGCAACTGAGATTACCTGATTAGCTCTGGTCCATAAAAGGAAAACTAAGACACAAAGCTGCAGTGATGTTTTGGGCCATGCAGCCAGTAGCAGTGGCTGGAAGGGAGCTTCTGAGGTCCTCTGGGACTGCAGTAGGTCACATATGTTCCCTGCTTATTAGTGTAGAACACCCCAGTGATTCACACAATGGAATGTGTAAGCCAAGACGTCACCTAATAAAGGGTACGTCAATACAGCTTTATCTGAGAAGTTACATAACCATCCTGATGTGGAAATGCCATTTGGAATTTGTGCTGTAGAATAAAAGAGGGGTGTATCTCCTAGGAATTACTCCACAAAGGTCGTTAGAGATTTTCAGAGAGAAATTTACAACCCCCAAACTGGGCAACTGATTTGTAAAAACAAAACAAAAACAAAAACAAAACAAAACAAAAACCAGGGCCCTGTGGAGGCTCTCTGAGGGGGTCTCGGAGTCCAGTTGTATTTGCAACGACTTAGCCAGAGGCCTGCTAGAAAGAGCCTCAAGGGACCGCCCATGTTTCCACAGGGAAACGAGGCCTAGCCGGTGTCTGGCCCCACAGGACAGAAAACACCCTACCTTGAGGTCTCCTTGTCTCTTTCTTTAGGGTCAAATATTTACTTCTGCAAGCCTTGAGATCTTTCGTTCTCTTTCTACCCTAGACAGCCCAATGAATCTTTCTCTCACTTGATTGGCAATCTCTGAAAGAAATCAAACTGACCTCCCGCTCTGGGATGCTCCCCTTCTCCCCGATCTTCCCTCGACCTCGCCTCTCACCATCTCACCTGCCCCCAGGATGCGGCAGAAGCAAGGGGGTTAGTGATTAGAAGGCAGGACGGAAGCGGCAGGGGTGTCCTAAGCACCTGTCACCTGGCAGGTCCCGGCCCTCCCTTTCCCAGTCCCCCAGCCCCACCCACCTTCCCGCCCCGGATCGCCGACACGGGCCCCGCCCCCCCGCACGCCCCGACCTGGACTGGCCCGTCCCTCCTGCCCCGGCCTCCAGCCACTGTCCAATGACCGAGGGGCAGGGCAAGCTGAGCAAGCCGCGGCAGCCCAGCCGGGTCCCCGCCCTGTTCCCGGTTCCCGAGCGGGGCCCGGTGGCCTTTAAATGCCACCCAGGACCGGCACGGCACGGCCCTCGCCACCTTTCTTTCTTGGGCACCGGCACCGGCAACGGCAGCAGCGCCAACCGCGACTCGTCAGCCGCAGTCCAGGTCCCAACAGCAGCGGCCACCTTAGACCTACTGGCCCGCGCCGCCTCTCCCTCCCCTCCCCCTGCTCTCGGGCCCTGCCTGCCGGGTCGGCGCCGGGCCCCCGGGCGTGCGCGCGCGCGCTCCCGCGAGTGTGTGCGCGCCCGCGCCAGCCTCGGACCCGCGCCCCCACTCAGCGCAGGACCGGCCCGGGATCCCCGCCCGCGCGCAGCGTCCCGCGACCCCCGCTGCCTGGCCGCCAGCGGTGTACCCCACCGCGCCGTGCAAGAACATGGCGGGATCGGTGGCCGACAGTGATGCCGTGGTGGTGAGTGTGGCGGGGTGCACGCGAGGCGCCCCCTTCCCGCCGCCCCGCATGCCGCTGCCGCCTGCTCCAGCCGGAGCTGGGGCGGATAGAAGCTGCAGGCCCAGCCCCGCGTCCCCCGCGTGGGAAGGCGCCGGGTACCTGTTAGCAGGAGCCGGCCGTGCACTCCGGCCAGAAGGAGCTTTCCTGGACAGAGGGCGCTGGACTGGGGAAGGGTTTGGGGGAGATTGCAGGGTTGAGGTGCCCGACAGCCGGTTCGGTGTCTGTACACCGCCGACCAGGTGTGTGCACTTTTGCACGTGTGAGTGTGCGCGAGGGTGAGTGTGTCTGGGCGCGCGCCCCGCGACCGGCTCCAGACGTCCCCGGGATTCCCCCTTGAAAATGGGTCCTCGCCCCGGGCTCCAGAGACAAGTTGAGCACTGCCACTCCACTTTAGCCACGTCCCCGAGGACAGGCCTGCCAGACAGCGGTTCCAAAAACGTTTGTGGTTGGAGAGGGCCTGCCCTTCCCCTGCACCAGGTTCTGGCTCCCTGGTGGGCCCCGACCTTGAATTTGATCTGGATTTGAAGGGGTCTGGGGATGTTTGGAGTCTTAGCTACCGGACGGAAAGGATGGGTTTTGTTCTGAGGGTTTATGCGGTTATTAATGGGCTATAAAGAGGCATCATCTGCAGACACTGCTTGTGTGTCTATGGAGGACTGCTGGATTCTGCTAGATTTCTGTAGGTGCCCCCACCCCCATCTTCTAAGAAAAAAAGGGTCTGTGGAAAGCCAATCTGTATGCTTCTATTTTTAGAAACTAGATGATGGGCATTTAAACAACTCCTTGGGCTCTCCGGTTCAAGCAGACGTGTACTTCCCACGACTGGTAAATGGTTTTGTTCTGTTTTCCATGTCTCTGCCTGTACCCCCTTCCTTTCTTAATTGCATTTTCCTTGCATTTTCTATTAGGTCAGGTTCTCAGGATCTGAGGGCTTGGCTCTTCTCTAACAGCCTGTAAAGTTCCTGTTTCTCCTCTCCTCCTTTGCAGATAGTTCCATTTTGTGGGCACATTAAAGGTGGCATGAGACCAGGAAAGAAGGTGTTAGTGATGGGCATTGTAGATCTCAACCCAGAAAGGTAAGTCAAAACAGAGTCCTCTTCACTAGCAGAACTATCAGGCAGTGGCAGGGCCCTGCCCACTCCTGTTGTGGTTTAGTTTCCTCTTCTTCCTCTCCTTGTGGACAGTGTTGCTAGTTGGGAGTGCCAAGAAAGTACCATGTTCCCATGAAAAGAATGTGTATGAATCCCAGCCATCATTTCTCCAGACAGCTATTTATATCAGAGATGATAAATATAGACCCACATTTTCTCTTTGACCCTTAGAAAGGCCAAAGGATTTTTCCCCCTTTTTTATGGTTTTGAAACATGGTGCTTGGAGCAAGAACTATTAGTATAAATAAGAACCAAACTTGACAAGATATTATTTCCCCCTAGTCAACTGCTGGGACTGTTTTTGAGAATTCTGATGGATTAATACACCGATGTGTGAGTGGCTTAGGGTATTTAGTATTTGATATTTGTAATTTCAGTCATCCACCAAAGTTTTCTCCAGAGTCTACTTTAGGTAACAAAATTAATTGGTTTGAGTGTAGTCCTTCTTCACCATAGTCTAATCTCTTATGAAAAGAGTAGCTGCCCATTAAAAACAGACAAACCCAGAGGAGGAGAACTTGGATCATTTTATAATATCCAGCCCCAAATAAATGAAACCACTTTGTTTTCAGCTTTGCTATCAGCTTGACCTGTGGTGACTCTGAAGATCCTCCTGCTGACGTGGCAATTGAACTCAAAGCTGTGTTCACAGACCGACAGCTACTTAGAAATTCTTGTATATCTGGAGAAAGGGGTGAAGAACAATCAGCCATCCCTTACTTTCCATTCATCCCAGACCAGCCATTCAGGGTAAGTATCTCAAGCGCCTCAGCTACAACCACTGGGAGGGTGGTGGTGTTCTAATCTCATGTGTGCCAAGAATATTGAAGTAGCCAGAATTTCTACATGTCCAGGAAATTTGTCACCCGGTGGTTAAAAAAAAATCATATATATATATATATATATATATATATATATATATATATATATATATATATATATATATATATATATATATATATATGTATATATATAAAGAAAAAGGAAAAGAAAAGGAATCAAAAGAGCTCTGTTTGCTTATAGAAATTAATGCTCCCAGAGTAGCACTTGGATCTCTCTATTCAGCCCATATATTTAGTTATTACACCCATATTTACATACTCAGATTGTTAAGGAAGAAAACCTACTACTACACTTAGCTACTATGGTAAGTATTAATTTAGCAAATACTTTTGTATATAGTACCCAACATAGTGTTAGGCATATAATAAATATCTGCCCCAAAATATCTGATTAATACATATTAATAAGTATCCAGAATTTTCCTCATTTTTTTCCCTTAGCCTTTAAGTAGTTTGAAACCTTATTCATTAAGACATTTTAAAGAATTTGGTGGTTATCATTTATGTTCTCTTGTTTCCTTTGCTAATGAAGCCATGTCCGTGTCCTTGTTTCCCCCTCTGCATTAATCAAGCCTCTGTCTTTCATGGTCACAGGCTGTGTGGCTGACAGATTTCTTCCCTTGGGCCTGGAAGAATATAGATTTGCTCCCCACTATCTAGTGGGCAGGAAACACAACCCAAACTTGCCACCTAATCAAGCAGCATTAGCAGCACCTTCCTCTAGAAAGGACAATGCCAAGTAAGAGATGCATGTCAGTAATGTGGAGAAAAGGACTTCGTGCAGTGATGAAGTTCCTTCATCAGATCTTGTTCACACACATCCCAATAATGGCAGCTTCATTAAAAACTCCCATTTGCCTGATCAACCTTTAACATGTTGCTCTTCATCTAGAAATTTTCAAAGGCTTTATAGACTGGGTGGGAAATAAGAAGCCAGGACTTTCATATCTGTGATAGAATTAAAATCATTGCCTTTCTAATCCTAGACTGGGGAAGGCACTCCACCCTCTTCTGTAGGATGGTTTTGTCCTCTTAGGCTCCTCTTGATTGTTATAAGTTTCCTAATGATGAATCTTCACACTCATGAGTATGATCAACCAGAACTTCTAGTAGGGATATAATGCTCCCCAACAACAAAATTAAAGTGAAATAGGCCCTTCTTGGTAATACAAGTTTAATAATAATATGAATTAAATGTGACTAATATCACATATGGAGTCTCCCCTTGCATGGTGAATACCAGAGCTTTTAATAAATACATCATAGCACAGAACCAATAATTAAACTTATGGCGAATTACTTATGTTAAGAAAAAGGAAAAGACAAAGCTTTTACCATGTGGAATTTGTATTTCTGTTTGGCTTACAAAGCTTTGTTAATTACACATTGTAGGTAATTACTATATAACCTTCTCTCTGCTTTAGTGTTACCATGTTTGAGTGTCTAGACTATTATTACATGCTACTAAATGGGTACCAGTTTGGCCTTGTGAGGGGCTCCTCTAAAAGTGGGTTTGGGGGATAGTAATGGAGACATTAAATGCCATGTAACTTAATCTATGCTAGTTACTGACTTCTGGGGTGCAGAGACAAATGTCCAAGCCTGAGCAATTTAAAACCTTTAAAGGATATTGAATAGTGTAGAGTAGTGGTTCTCAAAGTATGTTCCCTGTTTCAGCCTTATCACTGTTACCTTGGAACTTGGTAGAAATGTCAATTTTTAGGCCTCACCCTAGTCCTTCTGAATTGGGAATTTGGAGAGTGAAGGCCTGCAATTTGTTCTAACTAACCCCCTCTATGGTTCCTTCCAGTGCATTCTGATATTTGAGAATCACTGAAGATGTTGCCATTTTTTTCCTCTAAAATAAAGTATGTTTGTTTGTCTTCCCTTGCAGGCTTTGTTGAAATTGTGAATTCAGATTATTACTTTGTTTCTTCCAGGTGGAAATTCTTTGTGAGCACCCACGTTTCAGAGTGTTTGTGGATGGACATCAACTCTTTGATTTTTACCATCGCATTCAAACGTTATCTGCGATTGACACCATAAAGATAAATGGGGACCTCCAGATCACCAAACTTGGCTGACAGCATTTAAACCACTTCTATTTCAAATAGGATCAGGTGCCACAACCATATGACTGTCGGTCTGGAATAAATGTCCCAGCAAGATCTGGAGACTTACAAAGAAAACAAAAGGCAAGCTTCACTGTCTCTTCTTTCTGTGCAGTTTAAACCCAAAATGACAACTTCAACTATGGTTTGCCCATAGGAAGAAAGCTGTCGGACAAAGACACCGAGCCATTATTCCCAAAACGAAGTAATACATGTATGCTGGATTTATTCAGACAAAACTAAAATGGATTTGTGATGATTTGTGATTGGATAGCAAATTATTTGTCATTTCAAAGCAAGGTGATGTTTAGAAACAAAGTGCTAAAGACATCAAAAACAACAACGGTACACCGAAATCAACACTTTTCTGCACTGAAGTAGAATTGTGTAGCACAACCAACATTTTAGTCAGGGTATTTACATAGAATGTAGGTTGCTCAAGATTTATTATTTTTTCTTTCTTCCTTTTTTTGCACAGCATAATGTCAGTTCAGATTTTTGAAGCTTTCTTGTAGTTATTTATTTATATTCAATGTATGTATTAGAGAATGAGCAATGTCTCAAGAACAGCGAATTATGAACTTTTGAATGTACAAATATCTTGGGTCTGAGAGGGGAAATTACATATTACAATCATAAAACAGGTGAATTTATATCTTAAAGAGTTGGGTTGTATCCTCCATACTCCTGAACATAGGATCTCTTAATATAAATTGTCATAAGTGCTTTTGGGAAAAAAATTTGCAACATTTCGATAAAATTGCTATTCATGTTGTCGATTATGTAAAATTCTATTTATATTGCTTTTTCTCCTAACTGAATTAGCACACTATTGGCTTCCTTAAGACTAATTAAATACTTCTCCCTAGCTTTACATAATAGCTCATTAAGTTGTTATTAAATTCATTGAAGATACAAGAGAGGGGGATTGCATAGATAATTTTTGAATGATTATTACATAAACTTTTAAAAGTATATGAAAATGATTTTGGAATGTAATGTAAAGCAGACAAATGGCCCCGAATGACCTACTTGGAAATAATTTATGTCAACTTAAGCTGTTAGCTCATTATATAACTTTTCTTATATGACCCTCACCAGTATTCCAAAGCAATGCCTTTGGAGCTTCAGAGTAGAAGATGCTTCCTACTGTGTTGGCTCTGTGGCTGGGAGGAGCTAGTGACTTGGAAGAGATAGTAGGATAAGATGGAATCCAGATTAGGAAAGGATCCGGTTAGTTTATCTGAAAGGTTAACTCCCAGGACTCCAGGTCTTTGCGTCCAGCCAATACTGTGAGTGCTTCCAGTGAAGCCTTAGGAGTTGCCCTGCGCTTGCAAAACTGATCAAGCCTGGGAGCAGCTCCAGCAGGAGGCTACAGACTGCAAATGCCACCACAGGGCCAGGGATGGTTGGATGCTGGACTTCACAAGGTGCATTGTCTCTGGAGAGAAGGACCCTTGGCATTGCTTTGGCCAGGTAGTGGGGGAAGAAAGGGGTGCTGGGGCGGGGGTGTATTTATATATAATTTAGGTTTTGTTTGTACAGCATACTGCGTCTTGTTATGACACGTCCTTGTCCTGCTTGGCTTTTGAGTTGTTTTTTTTTACATGACATGCAGAGGCACGGAAGTGGCTATGTCATTTTTCACGTGCTGAAAAGGTAGACAGTGTTTCAGTACCAAAGTCTAAGATAAACAAAGCAAACTAAAATCGTGAATTTTTATAGGTGATATATTTGGATTTTTCTCAACTTTGAAACTGTTTAGCACAGTTCTATGGTGTTATAGAAGATATTTTATCCAACAACACTGGCTGCACATTAAAAAGCTTTATGTACCAGCTGACTTAGCCATATTCAGCCAGGAGAGCTGTTCGGTGGCTCCAGGTATTTTCAAGCCTTTGATTAACTTCTCATGGCTTATAAAGCCATTTTTAAGGAGTATCTATAGAGAGACTTAGAGGGCACCCTGAAATATTTTGGTAGGGATTTTGATCCAACTTATGCTGGACAATCCCAGGGGAGGATGCTTTTGAGTGGTCAACTTTTCCTACCCACTGCATAATTCAGCAGAAACCAGAGGAGCAGGGAGTATAACTGATTAGAAGTGGCTGTGTTCTCTCTGCCTATCAGCTAACTCATTAGCAACCAAGCCCTTAGGCAGCTTAGTGTGAAAATGTGTGTTAACCCTTCCTTTTCCTATGAGGTCAGTGGGAACTTCTTGGATAAATCTACTGGGATTAATTTCAGTGATGTGATGACTTGATTTAGGTATAGCTAAATGAGTACAGGGCTAATCCCGCCATCCTAATGGTTAGCTGGAAACTGGAACATGTTCACACCCTCTCCTCTGCCTGTGAGGTCTAAGGTGGGAATTTCAAGATTGAAAGTGCAATTTAAAGCTTCACAGGAAAATATTTGCGTATGTAAGGAGATATTTCTGACCAGAGCCCTAGTTTTGCAATAATCCAAACCAAGGAATAACAATCAGGCTCTGGGGAAATAAAAGGCAGGCTTTAGACAATCTGTTTCTGCAGCAAAATTAAAGTGAAAATGTATATCTACTTAAAACCTAATGGAAGTGATTTCTGCTCTCTGGGTGGTCCCAGAATTGTTTTTAAATTATTTTTATAAATTTTGAAACCCCATTTCAAATCTTACCAGCCTCAGTTCAGACCTCCCTAAGAGATCACTTTTAGGATTGATGATTTATTTGCTAAATGGCAAGTCTTTCCATTTGTCTTTAAAAGAAAATGTCCAAAAAGAGGGCATGAGCCCTGTTGCCTTGAGAGAAGCAGCCTTGGCATTTTCCAGCATTAAGGTAGGAAAAATGTTCCTATGATGACATATTTTCAAAGAAACACTTTCTTATTTACTGCGTGGTGTAAAATGTTGCTATATGTATTGTTACATTATGTCACTGCTGAAAGTTATTTGCACTATAATAAAGGAGTTTTCTACAAAATGTTTTCCAGTTTATTACATGCTGCATTTGGTCCCAGTTAAATCGTAATTAGCACTTAGCTTAGACCCTGAGGTGCAGCACCCCTCTCTTTCACACACACACACACTCCAAACCACTTTTTCTTGTGTTTCTCACATTGATTAAGGAAGAGAAAGTGACTCAGGGGGCCCCCAGAGCCTGAATGAGCTTATATTGTGGATTAAGTGGGTGCTTATTTTTTTATTTATTTATGTTTTGCAGTACTAGAGATTGAACCTAGGAGTACTCTGCTACTTAGCTTCTCTCTCTCTCCTAAGATAGGGTCTTGCTAAGTAGTTTAGGGCCTGACTAGATTGCTGAGGCTGGCCTCAAACTTGCAATCTCCTGCCTCTATCTCCTGACACTCTGGAATTATACGCATGTGCCAATGCACCCAGCAGTGAGTTCTTTCTTTTACTTTTTAAAAAATTTTTAATTGATTTTTAAAAAATAAATGACAGCAGAATGCATTACAATTCTTATTACACATACAGCACAATTTTTCATATCTCTGGTTGTATACAAAGTATGTTCACATCAATTCATGTCTTCATACATGTACTTTCTAAAAACAATTTACATGCAGTAAATTTACTTATGTTGGTGGATAGTTCTAGGTATTTTAACACATTGAGACTGTAACTCCCATTTTATCAGGAAACAGAATCATTGCATCATTCCCCCAATTCCTTTGTGCTATCCCTTTGTAGTTAAATTAATCTCCCACCTTCTAACTTTGATCAGGCAACTAAGGAATTATTCTCCCACCCTATAGTTTTTAATTTTCCTGAATGTTATAAAAAATAGTCACATATTTGTAACTTCTTGAGGTTGGCTTTTAATTTGCATAATGCATTTGCAATAATACATAAGTGCATATGCATTGATGTAATATGTGTCAATAGTTTTTCCTTTATATTGCTGTGTAGTATTCCCTTGGGTAGATGTGCCATCATTTCTTTATCTTTTCACCTATTGAAGGATACAGAAAGTTGTTAATATAATACATCATTAAATATAGTCTTAGCACAGTATATATATAAAATAGCAGGATTGTATTTGCCTTCTCTTTCCTGTGGTTTGAATGATTATAGAAGAAATTTGATCCTTTGGCTATGCAATCTACAAACATAGAGGATGATTTATAGAAGTTTGCCCAGCTTCAGTTATTCAGTTATCAATAGATGACAAAGTCATGCTGAATCTAGGTTCCAATTTGTCTTAATTAGTTTTATTAGTACCTCCCCCCCCCCGTTTTTTTTTTTTTTTCTTTTTCTTTTTTCCTTTCTTTAAAGGTGGCAGAGCTATGGAGGCTGGTTTGCTGCTTTCTATGACACAGCTTTTGTAGTTCAGTGCAGGCAAGGAGAGGCCTGTTAAGGTGAAGACAATTTGCTAAGACTGTTCAGAAGAGATAGGAGAGCTCCCCCTTCCCCCATAACCCAGCTAAGAAGGTATTTTGGAGGATATGACATTATAGTTGTTTTATGATAGCATTTTGAATTAGATGGTCTGGAAGAGATCCGTAATTAGAGCCTCTGAGTGCCACAAACCCTGAGGGCCTCCATTCATTCAACAGGTATTTATTGAGCTGTGGGGATGGCTGTTCTAGGCTCTCAGATCCATCAATGAGTAAAAATACAAAGGACTCTGGTGGTTTTAAATTTCAGTGTGCTTAAGAATCACCTAGAAAAACCTGCTTACAAGTCAGAAGTTCAAGTCTGGCGTGGTGACACATGCCTATAATCCCAGTGACATGGGAGGCTGAGGCAGGAGGATAGCAAGTTCAAGGCCAGCCTCAGCGATTTAGTGTAGGCCCTGTCTCAAAAAATAAAAGGTCTGGGGATATAGTTCAGTGTTAAAGTGACGCTGGGTTCAATCCCCAGTACGAAATTAAAACATAGAGAGGGAGGGAGAGAGACAGACAGACAGACCGACTGACCCCTGGGAGATTCTGTTTCAGTAGGCCTGGAGTAGGGCCCAGGAGTTTATGTTTTAAGAAGCCTCCTGGATGTAGATGGTCCTGCATTTCATAAAAGCACCTCTGACAGTAGAAACTCTGAACAGTTGCTGAATCAAACTGTGGGGGTGCCTGGGCCTTGAGATTCCAATCTGTGGATGTTGTTTTGTGAAAACTGTTTTTCAACATGGGCATCCTGCCCTGCAACTGTCATTAAGCAGTACAAATGTGTGTCCTTGTCCCTGACTTAACTTTCTCTCTCCCTGGCTCCTGCCTCTAACTCTAAGATACACTGTAGCCAAATAAGTTTATCTTAAACAAC